GGCCGGCCATGGTGGAGGTGGACGGCGGCGACGTGGCCATGGCGGAGCCATGCGGTGGCGATCCCTAATCCCCGCGGCGGCGTGGCCGGCTAGGTAGATACGTGGGTTCAATATGGGCACCGCAGGCTATCGTGTGACGGATTTACCCTTAAAAAAATCAACTGGTCCCACTAAAATTTTGTAACGGTGGGTAATTTCATGTAATTTTAGTTTTGTAACTCCGTGTAACTCCTATTTCCCCACCGTCAGATCAGGGTGGATGGACGGCTCATAAAATCGCCAATCACCATAACAGTTGTAATATATATATACCTAAAACTCATTTTCTAAATATTCCAACCAATAATACATAATTTTAAATATAAGGGAAAAACACAAGTGGAAATAACATGGAATTGGGTGAAAATATAAGTTGATTGATCATTTTTTTCGAAATGTAAGCTGATCAATTTCTTTTTGTTCACACACTTGATGGAATAAAATATCAATATGATAGTGAAATACGTGAAAATAAGTGCATACTTTTTTTGTGGATTAGATATACAAAATCGTACTAGTTTTTTGTGTGTGTGTGTGTGCAGATGCTAGTTCAGTAGTGCTAAAATTGAGACGTACGCGCGCGGAGTTCGTTGGACGCGCCGTATCTTGCCCGCCAAATTTTTTTCATTTTGACGCGAGCTCGCGCAAATTGGTTGTATGCGTGCATCCCTCCCCGACGCGAACTTTTCCCCCGAATCCCAACCCCGTGCCGAGAGCGCCGCTAAAATACCACCAAACCCGCAGCGGCGCAACTCATCCATCGCCAGGCCGCCCGTGCCCTCCTCAAGCCGTCACCGTTGCTGGCAGACGCCGCCGCCGCTGCAGACGCAGGGTGCCGCCGGCACTGCTGCAGATCTTGTTCCCGCGGCAGCTGCTTCAGAGGCAGCCGTCGCCGTTGCTGGCAGACGCCGCCGCTGCTGCCGACGCAGGGTGCCGCCGGCACTGCTGCAGACCTTGCTCCCACGGCAGCCGCTTCAGAAGAAGCCGTCGCGTCGCTGGCGGACGCCGCAGCCGCTGCAGAAGCAGGGTGCCGCTGTCGCTGCTGCAGGCCTTGCTCCCGCGGCAGCCGCCGCCGTAGGTGTACCTTACAGATCTGCCACCCTCAACATCATCAGACGCAGGCGGGGGCCTCCGCCGCTGCAGACACAGTCGCTTCTGCCGCTGCGGTCCTCAACCGACCCTGCCGTCCTCGACCGAGACGTCCTGCAACCTGCCACGTCCGCACACGAGCTTTAACTTCAGAACCAATGCTCGATTAGGTGAGCTCGCATGGCCTTCTTTCCTCATGTTTCTATATGCGTCCTCATGTTTCTATATGCGTCTGATCCATGCAGTTTAGGGATCAATTATAAATTGTCTATCTATCTCGTGATTAAACAAAGATGAAGATTTGTCCTTTGCATTAGTTAATTATAAGGAGAAGTAAACCTATTGGTACATATAAAAATAGGCTAATTTGCTAGCATGTGTACAGTACTCTGAACTGGTAATTTTCTTAACATTTTTTTTGTAAAAACCATTGCTTTAACCTTGTCTAATGTAACAAAATGAAGTTTGTTGGTCCTTTGACGTCTGTACTGTGCTGCCAACTATTCTACCAGGTCTCTAGAAGAATAGCATAGTTGGATGTACAGTGGGTGAAATGAACAAACGAAATATTCTGAAGAGTGGGTGCGCAACATAACAACTTTTCTTGACCATGTTATTCAGATTATGCTTAATGCAGACCGGTTTGGTGTGAGCTGACCATGTTTCTGGCTGTTTCCCTGTGTTGAACTTAAAGTTGTATCTCGGGCACTTATTTTTTCTCTAGTTGTTTTTTGACCCGATGCACATTTTTCTACTGCTATATATACATTTGCCAACTTAGAAATGTGTAATTTTATTTATTTGTTTTTCTGAACCTTACTAATGCATTTTATTTCAATTTACAGGGGGACTTTTTGTGTTGATTAATTGGTAGCAAATGGTTGTTACCAGGAGCAACCATGACAGTTAGCTGTTAGGCCGTGCACTTGGCGATGGTTGTGATTTGTTGTCCTAGTGACTTATATATCATGCACAGTCAATGTATTCGAGGTTACTAATTGGACAATCCAGGTTACTAATTGAAAAATCGTATGTAGATGACAATTTGTGAGGTCTACGTACTGAGTTGAGCTAGATGCCATCTTCTGTAAAGTCTGGTAATATTGTGTCACTAGTAGAAAAAGGGTCAAACGTGAAGCACATTAGTGCCGGTTTAAATTTGAGCCGGCACTAATTGTACTATTAGTGCCGGTTCGAACGGCTATGCATTAATGCCGGTTCGTGTTGAACTTTTAGTACCGGTTCGTGCCACGAACCGGTACTAAAGGGGTGATGGCAGGCTGGCGTCAGGCCGGGGCCCCACGATCACCTTTAGTACCGGTTCGTGTCACAAACCAGTACTAAAGGACTAACCTTTAGTACCGGTTTGCGCCATGAACCGGTACTAAAGGGA